CGGCGCGCCGTGGCGGGGACTCGGCGCTGCGTCCGGGCAGCAGGTGCGCGCGTGTGCGGGCGCGGTCGTTTCGTTGGCGCGCGAGAGGCGGCCTCCGGTAACGACCGCTGCGGGATGCGGGTGGCTTCCGCGCTTCCCAGGACGTGAAGTACGGGCAGAATACGAGCTGCGGTGCAGAGCGAATTTGTTAGGTAGCTTTTTTATACCCCCGCCCCCGGAAAACAAGAGGAAAATGGGGGTGGCTTTTTTTTTTTGAAAACCCATGGGAGTGAATTCTTAGAATTAGTGGCCGAAATCGTCTCGGTGTTTCAGTTCACGTGGACGTGTGGATGACCGAGGTCGTGTGTTAGGCAGGCGCTGTCCCGGGTGAACGGCTTCGTGTGCATTCTTGTGCTGTCAAGCCCTTGCGCTGCCTGACAGGGTCGGGCGCTTGTCTCTGCGTCGGCGCTCCCGGGATTGAGTGCGCGGGGGGATTTATTGAGTCTATTGTAGAGTGGCAGCGTCCCGGCAGTTGGGGAACAGCGATTCCCAGTCGCAGGCGCATGTACATGGTATTAATGCACACGCACGCTTACACTCACACACACACATTCGTTCCCACACTGCTCTGGCGAGTTTAGCCAGAGGTTAGTGCCTGCACTGTGTGAGGCGTTTTGCTCGCCCAAGGTGAAGCAATGTACTTTATCTGGGAGAAAGTAAAACAGGACCTATTTTTAAGCAGGAAAGAGATAGGACAGTAAAGTGAAGAACCGGTGGGCCATGAAAACTGGAGAAGTGTCATCGGGCTCTCCGGCGTTGGGACTGCGGGAACGGGATTTTATCTCCGGGCTTTACTGCCATCGCTGTTGAATAAGAGGATTAAAATGTTAGACCTCTTCTGCTTCATTCAGGACCAAAAATTGATGATTCTGAGTGCTGTTAATGAACGTGGTTATCAGCAGAGTTATCACAAGTCTTTTATCATTTTCGTATATAGGAAATTCGCTACTCAATACCTGTGTCATTTTTAATTTAATTTTCATCATTGAATGAAAAATACATAAAAGTATTTGGTTCTACAGTAATCGTTAAAAATACAGTTTGTGTATATAAAAAATGTTTTATGGCCGAGGATATAGCTCAGCCGCACAAGCGTCTTCCTGGCAAGCTCAAGATCCTGAGTTCGATTGCCAGCACCAAAAAAAAAAAAAAAAAGGCTTTTTAAAATTTCATTGTCGTTTCAACCATTCCGACTTATCGTAGAAAGTCTGCACCGTTGGTATTTGATAGAATTTAGCAAATTGCTTTTATTTACCTGATTGCTAAAAACCAGGCTTTACGAGTGAATTCTTTGTGTAACTTCAGTTGCTTTAAAATGATATTTCACCTATAATAAAACTAAGCAAAGCATGTGCTTATAGCATTGTTCACCCTATGGAATCTGGGTTTCTACTGAAATCTTGACTTTCTAAAGGTTTTGGGTTTTTTTTGAGTAAAACGTGTTTGTCATTTTTAATGGAAAGACATAACTTTGATGTCCACTATATATATATATAAATCCTATTTTTGTTTTTTAAACAGTCTGGTGCTTAGAGTTATTAGACTGTCTAAATATAACTGGCCACTAACTGTAGTTTATTTATTATGTGTGATTAGAAAACTTTCTTTGTGTTTCAGCAGTACCTTTAAATTGGCAACTTTGTTGGGTTTTGTAAATAGAGAAAGAAGTATTTGTTTCAACTGATGAAAAACTGGCTGAATCCTAATGCAGTTATTTCTCTGCCTGAACTATAGCTGTAATTTTTAAGTAAATGACTTTGAAGATATCAATATGTAATACAAGCATTGTTAATTTCCTATCACTTTGTAACTCTGTATTGTCTGTACTGTTCTTTTGCTATTTTGTGAAAGGTTGTCTGTCTGTGTTTCCCTCCTTTTATTTTTAAAATAAAATAAATTTTTAAGTAAATGAAAAAGTAGACAAATATTATCAGTGCCCAGTATGAGCAACAGAAAATCTGGATTTTGTCTGTTGGCTTATGTTTGCATCAATCTGATATGAGCTAGTGACATTTCTGGACTTTTGTATAGTGGATTTGACCTTCTCATGACCAATGTAGACCTTATCCAGTTACCTTTTTTCTGGGATAGCAAAAACTTATAAAGCAAATGTAAAGGCGATTCATATTTTTTAATTAACGCGAATGTCAGGGTATCATTAAAGGAAAGCATCTAGTCATAGTTGATAGTATCTGAGATTGAAGTATTAAATCATGTTTCATTTTAGGTCACTGAAGTCTGATGTGCCATTTTTATTCAGTAATTCTTTTGAAACGAATAATTTTCTGAATTGAAAGTTATTTGAAGATAATTTTATATGTAGCACTTCTTAGTCTGTGGGTTTGATTTATAATAAGGGACTACCAAGTATCTTGGCCATGTATCCTAGTTCTACAGATGTCTTAAATATTTTTTTTTCCTCTCCCAACCATTTGTGATTTTAATTTATGAGTACTATAAATGTTATGGTAACTTTTAATTCAATTTTTTTAATCTGGTGATAAAAAATACAATTATTTTTATGTTAGGGTTTTTTTTTTTTTTTTACATCACACAAGTGTTATCACACATAAAATGGTTAAGAACCACTAATCTAAGCCAGTTCTCTAGAATAAGGAAATACTTACCTAAACATTTTAATGGAGCGATCAAGGAATGAATAACTTGCTGTTAGTCTGTCTTTTTACCTTGGAGTGAACTCATCCTCTTTCCCCGACATGTTTCTAGTTAGTGTGGGTCACCAGGGACGCTTTTATATAATTAAGTTTAGTGGATACTTTCTAATCTTTATCCTATCTTTATGTTTGGCCGTTATTTCACATTGTCATCCTACTGTTTTAACTTTTCTTCTTACTAAGATGGCTTATGTTTCTGATTTTTAAAAAAATTATCTATACACACATATATAAAAAATATAAAATTGTGATACCTCCTTTACTGATGCTGTTTCCTTCCTAGTATCTTTCTCTGCTTTTTCCTTTTACTGACTTTCACAGTTCTGTCAAATGCTTTTTTGTTCTTTTTGGTACTGGAGATTGAACCCAAGGAATGCTGAGCTGTATCCCTCATTCCTTCGGTGATTTTTGTTTTGTCCTTTTTTGCTGGGATAGGATCTCACTAAGTTGCCCAGGCTGGCCTCAAATTTCTGATCCCCTGCCTCAACCTTCCAGGTAGCTGGGATTACATCAACCACCAGGCCGAAATGTGTATAAGCGTTCTTTATACTGTGTACATGCCCTGGATATTGTTTCCCCACTAGCAGCTTCATTTACCACTTACAAATTGATGACACCCTTATTTCTCACCTAGCCTGGACTTCTCATGAGGCCCAGTTTAAAGAGAAACTTCATACTTCACAAGTATTTGTTCCCTTTTTTCCTAAAAATACCCTTTGCTAATTAATTGCCTCCTCTAACTTTCTAAGCCAAAACCTTGGGTATTATCCCTACGTCTTTATTATTTTATATTTTCTTTCACCTAATCTAGATAAATGTTTCTAGATTATCTATTTCTCATTATTTAGCATACATATGTTAAATAACTAACCATTTCATTCCCATTTCTACCATTTCGCAACTGAGTAACTGCCATTCTATCTTACAGGCTGGCCTCTCTATCCATGGATTTTCCATCTGTGGATTCAACCAAAGATAAAAAATATTCAGAAAAACATTGCAGCTCTACTGAACATAGGCAGATTTTTTCTTGTCATTGTTTCCTAAACAATACAGTAAAACCGTGATTAACATAGCACTTTCACTGTACTAGATATTGTAAGTAATCTTACAGAGGTGGCTTGAAATATCCTGCAGGAGCTGAGCATAGTGGTGCCTATGTGTATTTCCAGCTACGTGGCAGGCCAAGACAGGAGAATCTCTTTAGCCCACAAATTTGAGACCACCCTACGTATCGTAAACCCTGTCTCAAATATCTATCTATGAATATGCCTACATTATATGCAAATACTGTATTATTTTAATAAGGGAGTTGAGCATCCCGTATTTGGATATGGGAGGAGAAAGTCCTGAAACTAGTGGACAACTATAGTGTTTTCTTTCAATATGGATTATCACAACTATTCCATCAGTCCTCACTTAGTAATCTTCCACTGAAGATAAAGTTCTAATTCTTTATGATTTAAGGCCTTCCCTAATATTGATTCTGCTTACCTCTCCACTTTCTCTCTTGACGTTCCTTCATTTTGGCCTTTGGATATTCTGGGAATACTGTCCAATACCCCCATGTTCTCATCCTTTATGTCACAAGAGTGAGGTCATTGCACCTTTTCTGATATCCCTCTCTACCTAAGCATACTGCTGTGTTTCCCTAACACCTTGGGCTTTTCTCTTTCATAGCATTCATCATCACTTGATGCTAGAATTGCTTATTCCTGTTTTTACTGCTATACTCTTGAATCTTTGAAGGCTTACATTGATTGATCTTGTTTTCTGTTGTATTTCCCAGAACCTAAATACAGTGCTTGACACATAGCAGTTGCTATATGAATAAATGAACTTAACTCTTTGTCTAATAATTAAGGGTTCTTTGACATCTGTTAAGTTTATAGATACATGCACACACATACCCACATAAAAAGGATTCCTAACTTACGATGGTTTACTTAGAATTACAGTTGTTTTACTTTACAATGGTACAAAATCAATAGACATTCACTAAAAACCGTATTTTGAATTTTGATTTATTTCCCTCAGGCCAGTGATATGTCCTTGTGGTACTCGTGTGATGCTGGATGGGGCAGCCAGCTGCAGCTCCCAGTGGCCACAGGATCACAGGGGTGAGCAACCAGTACGCTACATTTGTACTGTGTTGCTAAACTATCATGTTTTGTAGGTAAGGTTTGTTGAATGCATTTCCAGTTCAATAATAATTTCAATTTATAATGGGCTCCTCAATCACTTTTGTGTAGTCTACAACTATAATCCTGCAGAAGCAGCATTTTTTTAGTACCTTTCAGGTAGTAGTCCTGTGTACTGTGATTTAGTA